TAAATGCTATGAAAAACTGCATCAGATGTTTAGCCCCGGGGTGCATTTTGGGCTGTTTTCCCCTACCACAGTCAGTCATAGCCTATGTCAAGACCAACAATTTAAATGGCCTTAACTCCATTTTGTAAACAAACTTACAACCATTTTCTCGCGAACTGAAACCTTCATTCGCAAACTTAAACCATAATCGGGTAGAGGAGAATTTCCCCTACCTGTTCATTATGTTGGTTTGCCTTTGCGGACTTTGGTTCGCGAGAAGATGGCCTTACAAGGTTTGTTTACAAAATGGAGTGAAGGCCATTTCAATTGTTGGTCTTGATGTGATTTGAATGGGTAGTGCAATAATTTACTCACTTATCCTAGTGTCAGAGGGTGGAACCAAGAGCGACATAGCTGCATGATCCAAGGAGTCTAGGGCTGCCTTTACAAGTTAATAAAATATTTTGAGATCAAACCAGATTTCAAGGTGAACATTGCATTAGGTCCTAAGTAACATTGTCAGATTCTCTTCGTCGACTTTCTCTTTGCATTACCACTGCCATGTAAAGATATTCCTAGGTATTTTCAGCACACAGATCGATAAAAGAAGCTTTTATCTAGCATCTAATGCTACAAACAAAACAAAAAACAGTTATGTGTGTGGTAGATAGAGTTGGTGTCGGACCTATCCACACCAGTTTTCTTAGCCGCTCTACGTCGGTTCGTCGTCCGCCGTGGACTCGTTTGCGAACTCCATTCAGACAATGGCACCACGTTTCAAGGACCAGCTAACGCTCTCCATGGCATCTACAAGATGATGAAGTCAAGCGATAACGACCGAACTCATATCCCGACCAGGACGTTCATTCCACTACGCACTCCACACTTCGGAGGATTGTGAGAAGTCGCAGTGAGGTCGGCCACATCAGCATCTGTCGAGAGGACATGATCATGCTTATAACACAGATCAAAATGTGCCTCAATTCGAAACGGTTGACCCCGATTCCATCCCATCCCTCTGACCTCGAACCTGCAAGTTGTTCCGGAAACAAGCCATATCAACACGCCGGACAACCGTCTGGACCACTGGCGATTCATCCAGAAGGTATTCCAGCGCATTTGGGCCCGTTGGTGCCCGGGGAACAACTTTTCAACCCTCGTTCAGCCTTCTAGTTTTATGCAGTTCTACCAGAGGATATTCTTGAAAAGCTCGTCTTCTTTGTCTCTACTCCTGGTGCTGCTTGGGATTAGTAAGGTAGGCAGTGAATTTAGAAGAACTAAAATGCCCGAAAGACATTTAACAATATTGTGCAATAGATTTATAATGTCGTATCAGGCACTGAGGAAGCTCCCGAAGCTCCCGACCCAGTCGCGCTTGCTGCAAACGTCCTCCATCTTCATCGTCCCGGTCATGTGGTCGGTGATGGTATCGGGGGCTTCCGGCCAGCAACCTCAGGCTAGTATGTTTGCGGTTCTGAGCTTTCGGTACCTGATGTCCTTTCGATTTCCAGCTCCCGTGATTGCTCCTCGAATGGTCTCCGGATCTACTACCAAAACGGGCGTGGGCTGAGGACTAAAATCGACTCGTTTTTCCTGGCTGTTGGAGAGGCCAAATATGATTTGATTGTGCTGACGGTAACGTGGCTGGAAGACCGAATTTACTCATTGTAACTTTTCGGGTCACTCTATTCCGTCTTCAGAACTGACCGGTCTCCCCTTAACAGTCAAAAATCGCGCTGTGGTGGAGTCCTGATTGCAGTATCAGGCGCAATATACGCAATATAGGTGTAGGCGCAATATACCTGCCCCCCGACAGCAAAAACGACTGCACGATCATTCGTGAGCATGTGGAATCGTTAGGCTCGATTTCTTCTCAATTAAGTCCCTGCTCTTCCGCTTTCGTATTTGGCAACTACAATCAAGCTGGTTTGCAGTGGCGCTGTGTGGTAGATAGAGTTGTTGTAGAGTAATAATAATAAAATAACTAAAAACTTGAGCGGTGAGTCAAGTAATAAAACACTCAATTTGAGTTAAACTAAATTAGCGTGAAATGTACAGAAGTGATAATAGAGAGATGCGAAAAAATGTCATGTTTAGTGAGGGGAAATTCTGAAACAGCACGGAGGTATAAAAACGAGCTACCTAAGCACGTAGAGGGGATTCTTGTAACTAACTTTGGAAGCGACAACAGAAGCAGCAGCAGCAGCAGCAACAAAACAGCAGTAGTTGGACCGAGATTCATGTAGCCGTGATCGAGCCTGGAAACCTCGATCCGGTCACGACAATGTGCTCAAGTTATTAACGAAAGAGAAAGTCGACGAAGAGACTTGATCAATGTTACTTAGGACCTAATGCAATGTTCAGCTTGATTTAGTCTACGCACCACACTGAAAACGAAACTAGCTCATATAGTGAGAGTGTGTAACATAAAACTTTAATTTTTTCCCATACGAATGAGTAAAAGTGGCTCAATATCTGAGTAAGATTCGTAACCAGTGCAATATATAAATTTTCAACTTGAATGTGAAATCTGAACTAGCTAGTGAAACATAGTGCGTATCAGTGGAGGACGCTCTAAAGCTGCAGGTATTCATCAACCGTTTCCTGCGGTATATAATTCCTGCCTGGTGGCGCCACATCTGGATCTCGAATGCTGAGCTTCATCCTCGTTGTCATCAGAAACCGATATCAACAGACATTTGAGGACGTAAGAGGAGGTCGGTTGGGGGCGACCCCGGCGTAGTGGTTAACATTCACGAGTTCAAATCTCACCCCCGGACAAGTCACGAATGACCCAAGAGCGTTAAAGTGACTATAATTAAAAAAAAAAAAAAAAAAGGCGGTCGGTTGGCACACACTACGAAAGGGATGGCAGCTATTTCTGCAAACAAGCAAAGGATTGTAACCTAGCTGGATATCACAGCAGAGGCAGGGGCAGGGCTCCATGGCGGTGAAACAAGAACAAGGAAATCTGTATCTTGGGATTTTTGTGGAGGCCCCTAAAATGGGTTCGGAAAATTACTGATTCTGTAGTGTGAATTGACAATTATTTAATAATGTTATTGAACCAGTCAATCACAGAATGTAAACATGCAGCAGCTGTTTTATACAGATGCTGCATAACTTTAGGTGTTTCCCCATGGAAAATAATCCATGATAAAATGATCATATTATTGAACATTACTTGCAGCTTGGGACGTATTTTCGGCATTTTTACTGCATTGTGTATTGAAACTAGTATTGAAAAACCTTTTCCAGAGTATCCATAAAGCTTTCGGCGAAGCAGTGCATCTTTTTATACGAACATACTTCTGTGCGCAGAATTATGAACACCAAAATAACTGCTGGTCTTTTCCGTGCATAATTATTTCCATAATTAAAACATGATTTCTAAACTTTTTGTTGATTTATGACATAAACATGGCAGAGAATAATTGTGTTTACCTGTTCAACACTTTTGCATTTCAAAATATTGACGTAAATAATTGAAACTAATAAATATTTACGAGGTAGGATGTTATCTTATCAGCTAACGGATTCTGTTGAAATGACGTGTTGAGCACTACTCGTTCAATTTATTTTTGTTTTTTACAATCTACGAAAAGCTGTATATTTTTGAATAACCCATGTTCACGGTATAACACATTTAGTTGGATTAAATCGTTAGGCTTGAAAAAACTGAGTTTGCTATTACAGATTAAATCGCTTATGATTTTAAATTAGAACATTTACATAGAAATTAAAATTTTGTCCGTATATGGCATGATTTCTGGGCACCACTGAACTATCCTACTTAAGCAAGGAAGTAAATAAGTAAGTAAGAAACTGCCCTTAAATACTAAGTTGAGGGCTCACTTTATTCCTTTGTTTGTTTTGCCTTCTATAAATAAACTTGTGAACAAATCCGTTTCATCCGTATGAAAATTCGAACTTCCATAGGCTACCGTACCGAATAGTAAGGAAAAAAAACCAGTTAAACCATACAGATGATGATAACGACAAGGGTTCAGTGATGATAGTATGCAAAAAATGCTTTCCAAAGGAAAATCTCCCCTTGCTCATCATTCATACATGATGCATAAAGGCACTACTACTCCACCCGGCACACTATATAGCGAGTGGAATGAAAAGCTAATTTGTCCGCTCTTCGGTAGTGGAATGCTAGGGTGGGATAGTTTGCTATTTTTATTCAGCTCCATGTTTGGGTAGTTGAATATTTCATTTGGAAGTGTAATAATTGGCTAAATGTCTCGGAGGATTATTTTACTAACGAATAGATGCAAAGCAGAATAATCCAATGCTGACTACTTATATGCATCACCCTAAGGGGAAACCTGAACATTCGATAACATGTGTACATCCCGGCCTAAACGTACTACTCAGTTCGGCCTCCGGGAGATCATTAACGTATTCACTCGTGCACAAGTCGCTTTCCCATGTAGAATGCAGATGCTAGTAGTGTAGTTCCTATTTTTTTATTATACAGGTAAGCATGCTACCGATTCCTGTTCAGTTCGTCACTGAAGGCAACAGGAGTAGATAGTAGAAGTGCATGTTCGCGAGACGGGTGAGTTTGTTTCGTTTGGTTCCGTTGCTAGGAATCGCCCCAAGGATTGAAATTAATATTTTATTTCAGATATAGTCATACTCTACCTGTGGTACAAGCGACGAGATCAGGGATGGTAGTGTGGCGTTGTTGCACACTACTAGGTAAGTTTGACTGCTTGTGCTGCACCTGCTCAGTGTTGCCTCGGAGAAGTACAGTGAACGCGCAGATGTCTCCGTTAACCCCGTGAGCTTCATTGTGTGTGTATGTGATCCAGTGGAGCGGTATTCTCTGGAGTGTCTTTTTGATATCAGCTGAATGCTAATTGCTTGGTTAAATGTCTTTTGACTGATGCCCAGCGGGGCGATGACTATAGCTATACTATTTAAGCGAACTAAATGATTTTAAAAGTAAACTGAATATTCATGTGTAATTTTCTAGATTACAAACACATACACAATATTTTATATCTTACCACCGAGTTTTGAAGTACCTGAAATGAAAGAATAAAAAATGGATATTAATTATGCATAATTTGCAACAGCTTATTATCCCATCAAAGCTTATTTTCCAAACTAATTTCGAAGTGTTCCCTAGGTTAGGCAATAAACGTTGGTTACTTCCCGCTTTCAATCCTCCTGAAAGAGGATTACCGAGCTCAAACAAATTGCAATCAAATCTGATGCCACTAATCATTCCACCTCAATAAAATGAAAGCAGTTCAAGCAGTGTAAGTATCATTTAGTATTCAAAACATTTGACACAAGGCTGGAGCCTTATTTGATTAACGAGATTTTTATGCGGCGCACATTTTTTCCAGCTTCCCTTCAGGATTGCCTGTCTCCATTAGACGCTTTTTCCTCGAGCATATAGTAGCTGTCCTCGTCTTGTTGTCGTTTTCGTCACCAGGTCATTGCTTTTTTCAATGTTGTAGCGGAATGTTTTCCATTTCCTGCAAGCATTTGCCAACATTTGACCTAGTTTAATTTAATTTACATATTTGTCTGAGTTTTTTGTATTTATCTGTTTTTCACTGTAGAAGATATCTTTCCCAATGGTAGACATTCAGTTAATGCGTCTTCCTGCCCCGTTGGACAGTATTTTTTTTAGGCATTGTGTTTTCTTTCTTCGAAGCGCTTTTTCTCATACTGATGGTGGCTGTGAGCTAAGTGCCATGGCGTCAGCTCATTTGAAGAGCAAAACAAAAAACAAAAAACAAAAAAGGTTTGGTTCTTTAGCAGTTGTCATAATTGTGAAACTGATTCCCAGGTGGTGGAAAGATTTAGTGGAAAATCTGTTCAATTTGAGAACAATAAACGATCGCTGCTAAATTTCAGGATAAACATGTCATTCTACTAAAATAGAATAGAAATAATGCATAGTATGTAAATAAACATTGTAATACTCATTGTATGTAGTCTAAATTGACTTCACTGATGCATTGTAGTCAAAATACGTATCTGTCATAAAGGGTGGTACGGTCAAAATTTGGTCAATATCAACTTGACGTATTTCTTTCAATTTTGCATTTAAAAAACCTGAACACCCCTCATTTTGAAGGTGTGTGTGTGTAGAATGTTGCTCCTATTTTGATTTTGGAATTCACTCTTCAGTTGTCAAAATGCCGTCCAAGCAAGAAGAGCAGCGTATCAAAATTTTGCTCGCGCATCGCGAAAATCCGAGCTACTCGCATGCAAAGTTGGCAAAATAGCTAAAAGTTGCCAAATCAACCGTTACAAATGTAATTAAAGTGTTTGGGGAACGTTTGTCGACAGCCAGGAAGTCTGGATCGGGGGGAAATCGAAAACCGGAAGCCGCTGAGACGACAAAGAGAGTTGCCGGTAGTTTCAAGCGAAACCCTAACCTCTCTCTCCGAGATGCCGCAAATAAGCTGGGTGTATCGTCTACAACCGTGCATCGAGCCAAAAAACGAGCCGGACTATCGACTTACAAGAAGGTAGTGACTCCAAATCGCGATGATAAACAAAATACGACGGCCAAAGCGCGATCCCGGAGGCTGTACACGACGATGCTGACGAAGTTTGACTGCGTGGTAATGGACGACGAAACCTACGTCAAAGCCGACTACAAGCAGCTTCCGGGACAGGAGTTTTATACGGCAAAAGGAAGGGGAAAGGTAGCAGATGTTTTCAAGCACATGAAACTGTCAAAGTTCGCAAAGAAATATCTGGTTTGGCAAGCCATCTGTACCTGTGGCTTGAAAAGCAGCATTTTCATAGCTTCCGGGACTGTCAACCAAGAAATTTACGTGAAAGAGTGTTTGAATAAACCTGTGCTGCCTTTCCTGAAGAAACACGGTTGTTCCGTACTGTTTTGGCCGGATTTGGCATCTTGCCATTACGGTAAAAAGGCCATGGAGTGGTACGCCGCCAACAACGTGCAGATGGTTCCCAAGGACAAGAACCCTCCCAACACGCCAGAGCTCCGCCCAATTGAGAAATACTGGGCTATTGTCAAGCGGAACCTAAAGAAGACCAAAAAACTGCTAAGGGCGAGCAGCAGTTCAAGGCAAACTGGCTTTCTGCGGCGAAGAAGGTGGACAAGGTGGCTGTACAAAATCTGATGGCAGGGGTCAAGCGTAAGGCCCGGCAATTCGGATTTGGAAAAGCGGAAGCCTAACTGAATATTTTTCCTGAATTTTATACTAATTGAACTTGAAAAAGAAATTTAATTTGATTTTTTAAATAAACGATTTCACAGATTTAAACGCGTTTTCCCTTGACCAAATTTTGACCGTATCACCCTTTAGATACCAAAATAATTAAGTGGAATTAAATGGAAGATAATGGCCCTTATTATTGATGTCACTTCACGGTTAAGTGACAACTTATCACTCACGGTGGTGTGATTCTCATTTGTTTTACATGGCAATGACAACTGGTCACTTCACTTCGTTTTGACCGGGAAGTGACACTCGTAATAAGGCCCAATATTTTTTTTTCTTGTTTTACGTTATTTAATTTTTAAGTTCATCAATGATGTTTCTAATTTTGTAATTAGAGTATTTTAATTACATGTTCCGTACTATTATTAACATTTTGATTACTGAAAGTACATTAAGAGCTGCAAAAAAATTTGTATTACTCTCAACAAACCACTTTCGTGAAAATATGATTTTTTGGCTCATTTTCAATTTTGAACGGTAGTCACGAAAACCTACTCTCTATCTGCTAAAAGTTAGATTTCTGAAGTACAGTTTCACCTTAAAAGAAACTTAAGGTGCATGTTTCAAAAGATGCAAAACATAAAATTATAAATATCTTCTGAACAGACTTAAACACCTAAATGTTCGCAATAATCAGAAATCAATTTAGCTCAAGAATGTTAAACTTTTAAACCACTGTGCAGTGGATCCGGTTTTATTTCTGGTTCCACGAAGGCATTCGTTGGGGGCAGAGTTACCAGTCGTCTAGAACCAGTTGCTGAAGTAGAGTTTTAAATTCTGAGTATCCATGGTATGGCCTAGAATGGGGTCTAGTATAAGAGAGGAGCGAACTGGCTGGTTTGGAGTCAAATGAAGTGACAAAGCCAGAGCCTCATTTGATAGCATTGGCAGTGTTGCTAGAAACCACCTAGGCATAAATTGCCAAGGCAGTTTGTTTTGCTCCTCTCTTATACTAGACCCTCTCTAGTATGGCGTACCGAATGATGCGTAAAATTAGTTGCGTCGAGTATTTGATCTTAGTATGTCTTGATTTTTATCTGGAACTATGTGGATTTTTTTCCTTGATTTGTTTTCCGTGCTGAGCACCAATGCTACCGACACCAGGAATGCAGCTTCCACACCTGGACTCTACCTATCGACCCATCAACTCATGAACCGGGGGCCTACGGCTTTACTTCCTATCTTACAATCTAAAGTTAACATATATAAGTTTCATAAACTCCAGATCGCGTCTACCCAAAATATCCCGAACTGGAACATTAGGTTGTCTACCTCGAGCCCGAAGGGAATCATACAATTCGGATCTGACTCCGCGATGCTCAGCACAAGACCAAACAATGTGATCTGCGTCCTGTCCTGGTAACCTTGTCCACATTCACAGAGATTGCTGTCCCCTAGCCCAACACCGAATAAGTGAGCGTTTAACGAGTAGTGATTGGACATGAGGTGAGACATCATACGAATGAAGTCTCGACCCACATCCAACCCCTTGAACCAAGGACTCTTCGACACCTTAGGGATGATCGAATATAGCCATCGTCCCAAACTTTCTTTGTTCCGTTTATTCTGCCAGCTGACGAATGACTGTTGACGATAAATGAAGAAAAAATCATCGTAGGCGATTTGTCAATCGTAGAATTGATTTTATATTATAAAAAAAAATTTGCTAACGGGGGGTGACCCCGGTGTACTGGTTTAAATCCATATCTCTCACGCTAAAGTCACGAGTTCAAATCTCACCCCCAGACAAGTCACGAATGATCCAAGAGCATTAAAGTGACTATAATAAATAAATAAAAAAAAAATAATCATTTGTAAGCAACTATAGACAAATGTTATACTGGAACCACCAGTGAATGTCATCGACAAATTCATGTAACTTCTACGTGGTAATCCAGTGACGTTTGAGCTCAATAAAATGAGTACCCCTACATGATAATCACGTAGCTCTTCGTGAAAAATATGATGGAAAAAATCTACGTATGTTTTCACGTAGCTTCGACGTGAACATTATTTTGAGTGCGGGGACGCCTGGATCGCCGCTTTCAACGCCACGTTGGGGATTCCATCCTAACTGGGAGCTTTCTTCACCTTCAATCCTTTCGCCTTTCGACGCCTTTCGACGTTATCTCCCTCTCCTTCTCCGTACGGTGGCCAGGTCGTGCATCGGATCGGACACACAATGTCACCCTTCTGTCCGGAGTGTGGAAATGTGGAAGAATCACCAGAGCACGTGGTCTTCGAATGCCCTAAATTTGATGCTGTGCGAGAGGAGATGCTCGCCAGAGGAGATGCGGGCAGAGAAATAACGCAGATCATCTCTGCGCTGAAGCGAAAATGGCGAGAAGACCAGCTAGAAAGTAGTAATGTGCCCACATAAGTGCGAAGGGAAAGATGGAACCAGGAGTACTCTCCGTCGGAGTAGGCTGAATCCACCGCCGGAGGTTAGCGAAGTCCATGAGTTTTAAATCATCGCTAACAACATCCATTGTACGGTAATTTTCATAAAAGTAAGGTTAAAGGGTCAGAGGTATTCTTCACCTCAAATAGGCTACAATAACTTTCAAAGTATAAGCTACCATAAAAATATTAACATTTTAAACGCAGTGCCATAACCCTCTATCTCCCTTAACTCATTTTCTTCGCTCGGGCAAGGCACAATTCACTCGGGAATAAACTTATTATAAGGCATGTAATAAGCGTCTTTGTGGTGCTCAGCTAGGGTTGGGGTGACGGTAGTATCGGTACCAGTTTTATCGGTAATACCGGGTAATTTTCCGGTACCGAAAAACCGGTACTAGCAAGTG